TATCCAGGTGGAGAAGATTCAAAATTTGGCAAATGATTCACTCTTTTGTGCTAGGAATATAACTCAGATAAATCTAGAATAGTCATCAATAATCCAAAATTCATATGATTTCCCTCCTAGGTTGGCTGTATTAACAGGTCCAAATATATCCATATGAAGAATTTATATTGGCCTAGAGGTGATGATGTCCTTGATTGAATGAAAGGAGATATTGATTTGCTTTCCTAGTTGATAGGTATCACAAAAGTGATCAATTGAGAGTTCTAGTTTAGGTATGCTTCTAACTAGGTTATTTTCGATTATCTTCCTAATAATTTTCATTCTTGCATAACATAGACTCCTATGATATAGCCATGATTCATCAGCGATTATTTTCAAACATAAGGAATTAGTATACTCGATACAATTCAAATCAACCATGCAGACATTATTAATCATTTTTTTCTTCTAAAATAATATTATTTCATTTAAAATAATCACAAGACTAGTAGATAAGAATTTAATATTAAAGCCTTTGTCACATTGTTAACTAATGTTAAGCAAGTTATGTTTCAGACCATCCACTAGCGAAACATTTTCAATAATAATTTTTTTGGAATTACCAATAATACTTGTACCTGCCACTTTCCTACTGGTATTATCTCAAAGTGTTACTTTTCCTCCTACCCTAGCCTTCAATGTGATGAATTATTTCATGTCTCCAGTCATGTGCCTTGAACATCCATTGTTAAGATACTATATGCTCTCACTAGGCTTTTTGTGATAGCACTCTTATAAAGTCAATCACATGTTAGATTTGGGAACCCAAGTGAGTTTGGGTTCCACCTTATGAATTAATGAATGACTTCCATGCATGCTATGGTGTGGTGAAAGTGATTTGGGTTACCCACTAAATGGTATGTGTATGCATTGACTTTTTTAATCTTCAAAAATAACATGATAGTTTGATAGTTGACCTAGCACACATCTTTTTAAGCTTCCTATATGAATAATGAATTATTTCAGATATAATAAAAAGTTTATCATATGATAGTTGACATACCTCATCTTGATTTGATTGATAAAGATTATCATTAGTCATAAGACACATATTTTACATCATCCTCTCTTCTTTTTCAGAAGATTTTGAGGTGGAGTCAACCATAAATGCTTTATGTGTGTGTTGCTTCCCCTTTTTGAACTTTCCCTTTTCTTTACCCTTCTTTTTGATTGGGTGAGTCCTTAGGTTGGGATAGTCAGTTTGCAGGTGGCCTAGTTTCCTGCATTCAAAATAGATTGTGTGAGATGACGCTTTAAAATTTCTAGTTTTCTTATATTTTCTCCATTATTGTTGATAACACTTTTGCTTACTTTTCAGGAAACCTTTGAACTGATATGTCATCAAAGCAATGTCGTCATCCTCCTCAGTTGTAGAGTTGTCACTTTTTGAGTCATTAGCTTTCAAGGCCACAGACTTCTCATTTTTATTGTCATATATATCAAGTAACCTTTAACTCACGCCTTGCTTGTAAGCAATGAGCAAGCCAAGCAAGTTATCAATCGAATACACATTCAAGTCTTTTGATTTAGAAATTGTAGTAACCTTAGCATCATAACCACTAGGTAGGCAACATAAAATCTTGTTAAATTTTTCAGCATTAGAAAGTTCTCTATCTAATGCATAAATGGATGTCACTATATGGGTGAACCTAGTGTGCATTTTAAATATAGTATCACTAGGTTTCACTTATATGAGTTTATAGACATAAAGTAGAATGTTTAACCTAGATTATTTGACTTCACTAGTTTCCTTATATGTGATGCACAGTCTATTACTTCCTTTCCCGTAGCACATGTGGACACTCTCATATAATCTTCATATTTCAAAGCACACAAAAAAATTCAAATATTTTGCATTCAATTGAGTAAACTCTCTATCTTCATGACTCCATTTAGTAATCGGGACATTAGTTTTAACAGCATTAACTATTCAAGTTGAAAGTGAATAACCAGTTTGAATCTTATGTCAAATTCTAAAATTAATATATTGCAAAAATATAGACATGCAAAATTTTCAAAAATCAAATGGTATGTTATTAAATAAGGGTGGATGAGTTATAGAATAACCCGCCACGAACGAGTTGAGCTTACATCAACGTTAATGACAGGCTTGAGAAATACAAAGAGATACTGAGAGGTCGTAGCATCTATTGCAAATTCTTTACTCAATCAATTATCTTCCTTCTTGTAAGCTCAACTCTTCTACTCACCAAGAGCCTTTAGAGTGAGTAACTACCCATAGGATGAAAAATGGGGTGTTCAACCCAGTAGAGGGTATAGTCGACTAGGTGAGCCATAGTGTGTGTGATGTTTTGGAGTCAACCACAAACACAATTGAGTAGATTGGGTAATCCAAATTGTTGAGTCATCATCTATTGCAGCATTAGACAACAAATTGGCCCTACAATTATTAGTTGGGGAAATTTACTAGACTGAAAACTAGATATATCGCATAGACTAATATATTTTATCTAGACATTGTGATATTTTGAGGAAAGCAGGAGTTTATATGACTATATATACCTCTATGTTTAACTTTGAGGACATTACTCCTTCATGTGCCAGAGGTGTACTTGAGTTCTAGGATTTCATATTGAGCACATGTTGGATGGGCTCGAAGGTGATGACCATAACATTACAGGATTTGTAGTTGGTTTCTAGTCTATTGATTTACGGTTGTTGTTATAAGGAGTATATTCTCACAGATGAAGAGCTTTCCCATAGGCATCCTTTACCAATGGGAGCATGAGATGAGAGTTAATTTTGTCGTTTATTTCTTCAAAGATACTTGAACACTACAAGCAAGTTTACATAATGATGGGGTTGTCCATGTGTTCTTAGACCATCATTCCATTACACATTTAAACTTATAGTTTCATCAATAGATTTAGAGTTGATCGTGATGATGACTTGTCATGGCACTATGTTGAGCCATCATAAGGGAAAATTATTAGGTCTGGACACCAAGCCTAGAAATAAGTCCGGATATCCAATTAAAATTTGACACGTGGACTGCGCTTTGACTGTGTTTTTTTACTACGCTTTGATTGCGCTTTACCTGCGCTTTTGGCGCGCTTGATTTAAAATTTCGTGAACACGTGTATATTCCGCATGTCAATTTTTATTGGAGTCCGGAGCTAATAATTTTCCCATCAGCTATTCACGGTATGGATGAGGGGCTATTTTTGGCAACTTTTCTAATGACTTGATGTGTACCTTTGTTCTTCCTACTAGAGAAAGATCTGTTACAAGGTGCTTGCCTTATTTTTCAAGGTAAGCGCATCTCTTTAACTCTAGTAGTGCTCAGTAAGATGTTCAGAGTTTTCATCGCCATTACAAGAACACCTTCCATTGATATTCAGTAGACCTTGCCGTGGTAGTGCGTTTTGGCTTAGGTGCATATTCATAGTAAATGAGCTTTTAGATATTTGAGATATCTAACATTCCTTTAAAGAAATGTTATCTGACCGTTATATTGTTTCCAAATGCAACATCGACTTTGGAGCAAGAGAAATTATTACTCTTCTTCTTCGCACCTCATTTGGTAATTGATAAATTTTATTTGGTGCACCAATCAAGTATATACATACTGTTAGACAGCATGGAAAGGGTTGATATAGTCGATGAGATCTATCACTAAGGCAGATACATTTTACTTAACAGTGGACGCTGATAGCTGAGTATGTGGCATGGCTGGCTGTGTTATTGATAAGATAAAAATTGTTCATTCCAAAATTATTTTTTTTTATGTTATTTTGTAATTGTAATCCTAATGTTTTGTAAAGAAAAATAGTGAAAAATCATGAAAATTGGGCCAGCGCTACAAAGACGGCGCCGCAGCGAAGAGCTTACCAAAATTCTGTTGGAGAACTTAGCACCAAAAGCAATCTAGGAAGCATCATCGCACCGCCAAATTATCCAACATCACGGAGAGAGTCAGTTAGAGAGGTGAACCAAAGCAATGATTGGTGAACCAATGCTTTGCCAGTTCAGTAGCATCGCAGTGCCACAAGGCCAGCACCGCAATGCTTTTTCGGTTAATTTCTAAAATGACAAATAGTAGCCTTAGACTTCAATATAAAAGGGTTAACATATTGTGGAGTTGTTATGTGTGTGTGAGGAGAAATTATTCTGTGTGGAATCCGCTCACAACGATGTGTTCGGTCTCTAATAGTAGCCAATAAAAACATAACGCGTGGCGTGCTAACGTGGAAAGTTAAGGCCCGACCCGTTTGTATTTTCGAGAGTAAATAATACGAGGCCCGCCCAGTATATACAATGAAAAGGTGGAAAATTTTAACATTTTCCAAATTCCACATTTCGGCCATTCGCTCCATTTCTCCCGAGCTTCCAGCAAAAAACATCTTCTGAATTCCTCCAGCAATCTCTTCTTCTCATCATGGACGAGGGAAAGGATTCACCTGCAAAGAGAAAGGTGCGAAAATTCTTACATTGACATAAAATGAACTACGGATATCTTTGGTATTCAACGCGTATTTACTGAAGAAACCAAAAAATAAATTAAAATCATTCCGAGTAACTATAAAAGTTTATATTTATCTCACTATTTTCGTTCTTTCTGCGTATTTTCTTTGTACACAATGTGTATAATCTGCGTAAATTTCCTTTATTTTCTGCGTATATGTTGAAGACAAACCCTAACATTTTATAATAAGTACTTTGGATCTTTAAATCATAAAACTAAATTTCCAATAAAGAAAAACTATTAGTGTACCCTAAACCCTAGATTTCTGCTGATATTTTTCTCATCCTTTGCGTACATTGCGTATGGTATACGTACACATCGCGTATGGTATGCGTACACATCGCGTATGGTATACGTACATGTTGCGTATAATATGCGTATTTTATTGCGTTTTATATGCATACTGAATTCGTATCACCTGCTTCCTAAAATAATTATAGTTTCTTATTCTACGTAGATCTACGTCCGTCCTATATCATATAGATGCTATGTTTCGACCTTCAGATTGCTTTTCATCACACATATTCTTGCATGATCTAAGAAGATGCCGGTCTTCTGGCCTAGGCAAATCATGATTGAGATTTTCAATAAATTTTTTCACCTTCCAATATCCACCTTCATCCACTGTAAACCTAATCATAGCTGGACAACCAGTTCGGGTATCTGATCTTTGATATTTCCTTTGGATATTAAGATCATGCAACTTCTTGAAACCAGCTTTTGAACAAACAAAGTCCTTGGATTTTAAATTTCTGGAATTTGGCCAGTAACTATGATGATCCTTACGAACACTAAAACCAAGATTATATCCATACTTACGATAAGCCTCGTATGCCTCTTTCTCATTAACATAAACATCCTGAGAAATACGCATTAAGTGAATGGTAAAATACGCAACCAATACGCAAAAAATAAGCAGCAATTAAGCAACGCAATATGCAACAAATACGCAATAAAAACCCAACATATGCGCAATGTATACGCAATGTATACCAATTCTATACGCATAAAATACTCAATGTATATCAAATAGATACGCAATACATACGCAATAAATACGCAACAAAACTTTGAAATAAGGAAATCGAACTACAAATTCGTTATTGTACATCCCTAGCTCAATAATAATTCAAAAGAAGGGAACATCAAGTATTCTTTTAAAGTCAATAACAATTTATTATTATGTATATTATTGATAAAAATACGCATATTTCCTAAACCCACAATAAATACCCAATGAAAACTTGGAAGGAGGCGAACTTTACCGATAAGCTGAACTTTTAGTCCAGTCGCACTGGTTCTACGTGTTCTGCTTCATGTGCGCTTGTTTCCTGGACGTCGGCATTCTCCAGGTTATCGGCTTCCTCCGAGACCTGTGAAAATAATGTCTGCTCATAAAAACCAACATCCTCCTCCAGATCAATCTCCTTCTTCATCGGCATTTTCTCTGCAAAAATTTTGGCTTCTCTGCGAAAATTTTGGCTCTAAGCGTTACATATTGCGGTGATTCACGCGCGCCTTAAATTCTGAAAAAAATAAGCGCCAACCTAAATCTCACGGGTCGGGTTTACGAGGTTTACGCAAGTCAATTGACTGTTTAACCCTTTCCACGTAATCAACCGAACACATCGTTGTGATCGGATTCCACACAGAATAATTTCTCGTGTGTGAGAGGGTTGATTTGAGACGGTGTAGCTTGTGTTCTTGTAGCTTGAGTCTTGTATTGGTGTGGAAAAAAAATGATGTGCAAAGTTGTAATCTTAATTCCAGGTGATTTCTAAACCTTGTTTTTTGTAGTTTATTTTATTATCATGTGTTAGTTTGTCTATAACTTGTTAATCATTCAGTGAAATAAAATTTTTGTTATGTTTATTCTGTGTAATAATGTTTCCATGTGTAGCTAAATAAATCCTCTAAATCTATGATGATTTGAAAGGCATGTATTTGTTAGATTATGCTTAATCTTTAATGTATTCATGCTATCTTTAAATTTTTCATGCTTCAATTAGTTTATGTAAATAGAAGAATAATTAAAAAAACTTAACGTATAGTATGGCTATAACATAAACATATGGTGGTTAGAGTAATGGGGTCTTAAGGAGATAAAATAATTATAATTAGGTATGATCCTAACTAATGCTCTAACGAGCTCAACAGAGACGTGGAGAAAATATTACTCTGATCCACAACTATAATAGGAAGTAAATCACTCTAAAGCAATCATATTCTTTTGAAAAATCATAGGTTCAAAATTTCTAAAAATTAATGAATTCCCTTTCTGCAATTTGAAGCTTTTTTACTTTTAACCTGCACCACGTTTTTAAATCTTTCAGCTAGATAAATTTAACAGTTCAGTAGGCAATAAAAAAGTGAACTTAGGATATTTCTTGTTTGTCCTCATGTGATTGACACTCTTTTCATCATTATATTACTTGATACAACACATGCACTTGAGTTAAAATAGAACTTACACCATCGAAAAATTAAACTTTCATTAAACAACTGAGTAGTGTGTGTAAGCTAAAACACAAAACTCTGCATTTGCATAAGCTAATAGTAGCTGCAACAGTGTCCTGACTGTTATCGTTCTAGTAGTTCAGTGGCATTAGAAAGACACTAGTTGAGTAGAGTTGATATTGACCAAACCATCCTTCGACAAGCTTAGCTTTTCCTTGGTATCTATTTTCCACTTCATAAGCCAGAGAGATATCAGAGATCATGAATAATGACCTTTTCCTTGGTATCTATTTGCCTTCGACGAACTTGCTCAAACTCGCTATGGGCCCTTCTACATTTTTTTCTAATTTTTCCAACTTTTACATATGAACAAAGCTTCTTATTTTTTATCTTTCTTATACATTGTGTTCACACTGTCATTATTTTTACTATTTAAAACTTTTCTTTGTAATTATTTAAGCACATACTTTGCGGGACTCATAATCTTACTAGCAACTTTTTCCCAAATAGCATTAACTTCATCATGAATAATTGAAATCTTAAGATTTTAAATTTTATACTAAAAAATATTTTTATCAATGTTCTTTTAATACTCACATCCAATCCTAGGATAGTATTTTACTTTATTTTTTCTTTTTTATTCATTCATCTTAAAGTCTAAAACTAATTAGTAATGTTGGGTATATAACTATTCACTCGGAATGGCTTCAAAATCATGGCAATCTAAACAATCTATTTTTCTTATAAATAAATAAATAATCTGGTGGCTCGGTTGTTATCCATGTATGACTTTAAATCTTCTATCAGTCTACCAAAATGTTAATTTAAATCTCCTCAAAAAAAAGCTCTTTCTTCAAGAAATATCTTTCAAATTAATTCTTCTAAGTCATTTCAAAAATTTATTTTTGAATACATATCCAAACATACTTGAGGAGCATCAACACCTATAACATTAATAATTTTAGCATAAAAAATAATCTTTAAAACTATAATTACATCTCCAATTCTATTAATTTCTATAATATTATCCTTCAAATTTTTTTTTATAATCACACATGCATTACTTTGTATATGACTCCTACCTGAATATTATAGTTTAAATTCTAAGCAATCAACCTTCTTAGCATTATCCCCACCCCATTTATTTTCCTGAATATATAGATTATTTATCTTTTATGAATCATAATATCTATTAATTCAAATAATTTAATAATAAGAGTATATATACATTTTAAATTTTAAAACTAATTATAATTTAATGAACTAACTTCTTCGCCCACATCTATTCATGGTGTAAGAATCCTAGCTTATTTTGTTACAACCCAACCCGATTAGGACACGTCCTATTGTGTTGAGCTGTAACAAACAATTCACAAGATCTACTTTTAGAATATTTTAGATTATCTTCCAAATATTATTAATTTAATAAATAATAGACTATAAAGCTACTTAAATATTTAAATACTGAAAATAAACTCATTCGCAAGATTTCTTTCATTTCATTAAAAAATATAAACTATAATATATGGCTATAAATAGAAGCAACATAACTAAATAATAAATTAGTCATAACTGTACAAAAATCAAAATAGAAAAATACATATAAACTCATATCTGATCCTAAAATGTTAATCAACAAGATCCTTCCCCTTCTCAGTTCTTAAAAATCAGAATTTTGAGCTTTGTTACTTGATATTTCTTTAAAATCAACATAACTAAGGGCTCTTATAAATCTAAATATGATCAATTCTCAACCATTTTTTTGATTAATAATGTTTCTAGTTTGTGTTTTCATCTGAGATCTTTTCATTTAATGTTGTTTTCTTTTGCTCGAGAACTATCAAAATATAAAGTTTAGTGGCATTAGATAAGTAAGTTTAAACTCATAAATTTTGTGCTTTTTTCACTTGATATTTCTTTTGATCACAGATTATTTGTGCTTTTTAATGCGTTTCATTTATTTTTGTACTCTTAGTTAGAAGAGAATGTGATCATCGGATGATGAAGAATGATTTAGAACTACTATAGATGCCAAAAATAAAGATTAATAGAGGCCAAATGCATAATAGACAAAAGAACAAAAATAGAGACATGACATGCAAAATTTTGACTTGCCCCTTGGTGCCAAGGTTCGGCACCTGGTTCCAGTTTTCTGAGCATATGAATAGCAACGGTAGCTCCTAAGCTTTGCTCTCCGGTGCCTAGATATTGTGATCCATGATTTGAAAACTAAACACACAAGAATTAAAAGAGAAGCTTTGTATATTGAGGGATTCGTGGAGAGATTATAAATGATAGAATTTCAGAATTTTGTGATGGATTTTTTGGGTAGAGAAGAAATATTAGATAAAAGAGAGTTTCCCTTCTACTTCTTTCTCCGAGGTTAAAAACTCAATGTTGCATCACTTTATCTTAATGAATTTTTAGAGTTCTTTGAATAGGTTAATGACAAAGCAATATATTGACTTTTAAATCTGTTCTTATACTTTTAATTGATGTTCTATTCTTGATATTGTGTATTTAATTTGCTCTTCATGCTAAGCATTACTAATCAATTTTTACACGAATTAGTATTTAATTTGAGATTAAGAAGCAATGATTAAATAGGTCCGCGATTGACTTACCATCAGTTATTTATAAGATAGAGATATTTATGAGACTCATGCCGCGATATGAATTTCTCGTACCCAATGATTTTTTATCGAATTATAATTTTTGCATAGATTATATCATTAAAAGGTTTAGGATGAGGTTGAAGTTTAAGATTTAGGTTACGTTTGAGATGACTTTCTTGTTGCTTCTTAAAGCAGCTTTCTAGTAAAAAATTAAAAAAAAAAATTGTACTAAAAAGCTGCTTTAAGAAGCAGCAAAAAAGCCGTCCCAAACAAAGCCTTAACCTTTCGTAGAGCTACTATGGATACTATATTCGTGAAACATTTTCTAATTTATCCGTACATTATAACTTTTATCACCACACTTCACAGAAGTATGAAAGATGTTGGTTCATTTTTAGAATCATCTACTTTTTCTCTCTCATAACATGTAACTAATGGCTCTTTACATTGTTATATGCTACAAATGCAAGTCCAAATGGCTGGAGATGAAACAAACCTATAATTATGACTCTTTGAGGACACTGACTAGTTATAGAATCTATTTGTGGCATTTAAATAAAGATAATTAAAGTGGATGCTCTAGATTTAAAAAGGTCCTTCATTGTTAAGAGGTAGAATCAAGTGCATAAGAATGCGTTGAATATGATCGTGGAGTATCAAGCCTTTATGATTTGCATGGTAGCTAACTGTATCGACCAAGTAGTTATGTCATGTAAAGAATGTTTTACTGTAGTGGTAGACTATTATGCTGAAGGAGGCCACAATATCTCCCAAATTCTAAGGCTTTTTAATAGGCCTCATCCATAGTTTCCAGGTGCAATGAAGATCACTTCCCTCTTCATTTATATTGAGTCCATTAACCAATCTGAAATAGATAACACTTTCTTCACGCAAGCTACATATTCTGTACTCAAAACTGCCGTGATTTCCTATTACTAAGCTTGTAAAACATATTACACTTATATGAAGTAATGTATGTTTCCCTGCACAGATATTTCATATCCTCTGATGATAAGAACATCAAACCTTTATCCTACTACATGTGGTCGGCTACATGAATCTTTTTCTCCATTGTATTATATTAATAATCAAAATTTTATTTAAATCTAATAAAGAAAGGATATTTCTAATACTTTCTAACCAAGTCTTTTTAGGTCTACCTCTATCTTTCTTTAACATAAGTCAAATCTAATACATCTACTCTCCTAACCGGGTCCGAGGAATGGCCACCGCTTTATGTGCTAAATCATTTAAGGCGATTCACTCTAATATTATCTTCCATTGGTGCTACTCCAACCATTTCACATATATGCTCGTTTCATATCCTGTCTCTAAGAGTAGAGTCACTCATTCACCTGAGCATCCTCATCTTTGCAACACTTAACTTAATATTATGCTTCTCTTTTAATAGCCAACATTCTGCACCATAAAGTATTGCAAGTCTCACCACTATCTTATAGAATTTTTCTTTAAGTTTGAGGGGGACTTTTCTATCACACAACAAGCCCGATGCATTCCTCCACTTCAACCATCAAACTTGAATTCTAATAATAATATCCCATCTATTTCACTATCACTCTGAACAATAAATTCAAGCTATTAAAAATGAGTATTCTTATTAATGACTTGAGCACCAAAAGTCACAATCCCCCCAATAGATCTATTATTACTAAAATTACACTCTATATATTCAATTTTACATCTACTCAAATGAAAACCTTTAGACTTTAAGGTTAACCTCCATAATTAAAGTTTACCTTCAACTCCCTTTCTAGTCTTATCAACAAGAAGAATATCATCAGCAAAAGCATACATCAGAGTACAACCTCTTGCAAATGTCTAGTGAGAACATCCATGACTGAAGCAAAAAGATATGGGCTTAAGGTTGATCCTTGATGTTATCCAACTGAAATAGGAAAATACTTGATCAAACCACATTGTGTCTGGACACAAGTAACAGCTCCTGCATACATATCCTTAATGACTTGAATATAAGCATTATTAACCCCTTTCTTTTCTAGAACTCTCCATAGCACTTCTCTTGAAACTTTATCATATGCATTCTAAAAATCAATAAATATCATATGCAGCTCCTCCTTATTCTCTCAATACTTCTCCATCAAAACTCTCAATAAATGTATAGCTTTCATAGTAGACCTACGCGACATGAATCTTCCTAATTAATTTTGAGAAACATGAGTATCACATTGTAACCTATGATACATAATTCTCTCCCATAGTTTTAAAGTATGATACATTAACTTAATTCCTCTATAATTCGCATAATCTTGTACATCACTTTTATTATTAAAAAAAATAAGAATCAAAATCAACACACTCATTCTCTACTCATCTGACATCTTTCAAGTCTTCAAAATAATATAAAATAATTTAGTAAGCTAAGAAATTACTTCATCTCTTAAGCATTTACACACCACTATTGGAATATCATTAGGCTCAATAGCTTTTCCACATTCCATTTTTTTTAAATCCTCTCTAACTTCGGTTTTACTAATACGTCGATAAAAACAAAAAATTTTATTTTCATTTAGGATGCTAATGTCACTAAAATCAATCATATTCGCACAAATTCATATCCTCTGACGTGGAGAAAAAATCATAACCTTAGTATTTAATCTCACAATCAATATTTTGCAAAAATCTTCCATCAGTGTCCACGAACCTTAACTAAGCAAAATTGATTTTGTGGAAATAAGAAATATAATATTAAGGAAATTTCTAGGCCACCTTTTTTATTATTTAGTTAGAAAATGATTTCAGAAGAAGATATCTAGGTTACATAACCAGTTAAGAATACATGAGGTCCATGTGTTCTATCAAAGGTAGAGATGGAAGAAGCCCTGTTATGATATGGATGGCCATGATAATGCAAAACCAACTAAAAACAATCAGTGATGTAAAATCCAAAAGTAGCCAGAAAACATGCAATATATATGTAATGAATGGAATAATACTACTGATAACTGAAAATAATTGTAAACAACGATTCAAATTATGCCACTTCAACTAAGTTCAATCAACCATCAATCAATAAAAAGTTCAGAATCAATTTATGTATCAAAATGATAAATAAAATTTAGGAAAGATGTGAATAGATTTTTATTGCAGATGTCGAGGTAGAATTATGAAATCATATTCCAAACCCACAACAGAAATGACAACTTTTTAATAACAATGACGGATTTCTAAAAGCTAGAAAATAAAACAATAATAGGAAGTTTTAGGACAGCCAATTATAGACAAAAATGTCATATTACACATAAAAGCATGGACCAATTAGTGGATTGTATAAATATAAGTAATAACATTAAGAAGTTCAAAGATTGCAAATACAATATCATGCAAATTATAAATTGATTAGAAACCAATATAATGTTCAAGCACTTTGTGAGTGAAGAATGCATTCAAAATGCACTGTATTGAAATGTCAGCTGCTTCGATCTTCTTACTCTCCTTGTTAATGGTTGCTTCTGCGTGAGCCTTCTTTCTTTCCCATTTCTGTTTTTTTTGTATAATAAATTCTTGTAGTTAACTCACTTTTAATGATTTAAGGAATTTTGTAATTATTATTGTTAAAGTAGAAGAAAGGAAAGGGGGTTTGCTCATAGTAGAGGAGGCAGATTCCTAGAGAGAGAAAAAATGTTGAGACTTTTTTTAAAAAAGAGATGGTCTAGTAGCAGAGAAAAAAAGGGTGTGACTTACACTTAACAATACTAGCATAGAAATGGGATGACTCAGGAATGTATTTCACGAATACATTGATAATATCAACATAAAGGCACGACGCTATATTTGAATTGTAAATCATTTAACAATGAGTGCACACTTCTTTCCAATTTGTCAAGCACAAATTGCAGATTGGTTTGCCCAACTCTATGTTAAGAACATATACAATCCAATTGCATGGTTTAATATGCACCATTCTTTTCAAATAGAAATGGTTAATTTACTACTATGTTATGGAAGATGACTCAAAAGGGTTTAAGAACTCAACTAAATTTTAGTACAATAATTTACTCATAAACTAATAGACAATATGAGCAGACAATCCAAATGTTGCAAGATTTATGCAATTTGTTTATCTAGAACAATGTGAGAGTTGGAAAATGACATCTATCGTTGGTGGAGTTTACCTAGGAACATAATTATCAAGCTAGCATTATCATGATATCCGATTTAATGGATTTTAATAGATGGCAACTTGGAGCTTATGTGGTATAAATGCTTGCTAATCCTTTGCTACCACTGATTTTTTCTCTTTTTAGAATTCATTCAGAAGTAAGGACCTTCATTGACTTATAAGAATAAAGTACAAGACTTTGATATTTAAGAATATTATTGTTGAGATTTTCATTTTTAGATTTTCTAAAAAACTAGTAACAAAAATAGAGTGCAAGGCACAAATAGGTAATATTTTTTATTGCAGCAGTATATTCAGTATATTCATATTTTGTATGTGTTTAGCAATATATTGAGCTATGATGTTAATTGAATATTTGAAGCATCAATACGACCAGCAAATATAGGGCAAAAAGTGAGGATACCACTAACTCTAGATTATCATCCTTGATGCTTTGCCTCGTAGTTCGTATGTGCTTCAAAGGATTCATTGACCACCTCCACCACCAAAGAGATATCACAAGATGGATTATCAATGTCATTGTTTTAAAAAATGAACTATATGGCATGAAAATCCACTCTGGTTGCTCAACCTGCAAATCGCCCAGGTAAGGGACAGTTGCATATGGATCAGTTCTATCTCCTAAGACTAATTAAATCCCAACCCTAAACCCTAAACCCAAGCAATTCATTTTGGAACAAATTAGTAATAGGTTGTCTGACCAAGGTTAGGTTGCCCACTTTCTAAAGCATGCTGTAAGTCTGCCACAGTGTTGATGAATTTGAAATTGTTTTGTAAACCCTTCATAACTGTCAAGTTTATCAAGTTAGTTTTACATTGTATCTGAATCCAACAAAATTACTAAAAAATGGATGATAAGTTAATAATTTTTTTTCATCTCGATTACCTCCAACTAAAATAATTGAATTTCTTTGTTAATTCAAGTGAAACAACTCTCTTTTGATCTGCATAAAGCTAAACAATAGAATAGTTGCTCCTATCTGAGTTTCAAGCTTTAATACCATCTAAAGCATGCCGATGCTCTGTCAACGGAATCCAACATGGCTCCAACTTCCTAGTCTCGAGTAAATCATTCCTCTGGTTATAAGAACCATTGCTCTAGCTTCCTGTAGATCCGCCATCCAGTGAATCTCCGTAAAAAATTCACATTGAAGGCTCCTCAGAAAGAAAAACCTCAGGGAATTGGATACGGTATAAAAGAACCCCAGAATACATAACAATTTGAGTGTGTACTGTAAAACATAAGAGTGAAAACAGAGAACCAACAGTGAAAACAAAATTCTAAAAAATGGTTATTTCTATTCAAAGGAGAAGCAATTTAAGTAGCTAACTTACGTGAAAGGGGGTTACACATAGGATTCTCGAAGCAGGAGTTGAAAGAAATGGGGATTTATAAATGCAACAAAAGCCGTCTCCTTCCAATATTCCAAAACTCTTAGCCAGTAGATCTGAGACGGTGTATTTGCTGGAGAAGGAGGCTCCTGGCGCGATTGAGTGCGGCCAAACAGAGGCAGACGTGCTCGTCGAGGTCCGTAAGCTGATGCCGGAAGCTGCAATGGTTCTTCCGAAGCTGGCGCACCACCTCCTGGATGGGGTGGATCTGTCCCCGACCTCGCTCAAGCCCTAGCCGCACCAGCACCATGTCGCTTTCCACCGTCGCGTGCAACCGAGCCACCAGCCGCTCCACCGTGCTCAAGTGTTTATCCAGCACGTAAGTCTCCCTCGCCGCAGCGTCAGTCCCCGACATACGCTCTCTCAGATGCCGCCTTCTCCCAGCCAGCACATCACTGCCTCCGCAGCACAACGCCACTGGCCCCATTGCCGCAACCGCCAGCAGAGCATGGCTGGCGAGGACAAGCGCAGCTACGACGGCCCCCGTGACCGACACAACGAGGCATGTCGCAGAGGCGATAGTGGCCCGCCGAAGGAGCCGATGCCTGCGCCGGGCGGTCAGCAGACGCAGTTCCAGCTGCTGCTTCAGGACGGAGAAGCAGTCTCGGATGTCCACAAAGCCATCGGCGGCGGCTTGGAAGGGATTTCCCCGGCGGTCAAAGTCGACGAAAACATCGAAAGCGCTGTCGCACTGCGGTAAGGACAGCAGAGAAGGAACGGATTGGGCGGCGGGCGAGGGGATCGGAGAGGTGGCAGGGAGAACGTCCAGAAGCAGGGCAATCGGAGAGTACATTTCGCGAGCAAGGTCTACGGAGCGGCGGAGGGAGAGAAATAGGTCAGAGGCCTGCTCACTGCTTTCCAGGTAACGGGACACGAGGCGGGTGAGACGAGTTGGTCGAGCCAAGCGGATGGCCTCCTCGACCGACGCCCGATCCGGCCGGAGGATCTCCTCACCATCGCCCTCAACATCTCCTTGTCCGTTTCGATGGTGGATTATTGACCACATCTCGTTGTAAGAGCTGGTCTGGACAGCAAGGGTGTACTCTCGCCGGAGGTTGATGTTAGCTACGGAGGGGGAGTTTTCTGCCGAGGCTGATGAGGCAGGACTTACCGTTCTTTTCTTCCAATTTTCTCCATCATCTTCGTCTTCCCCTCTCGTACCACTGCTAGCAGCCGCTGAAGAAGACATTTCTTGCCGCGGCTTTCTAAAATCCCACAAGCTGTGCTGCACCGCCTTCCTGATATTAAAGAAATCTCCTTATAATCAACGGGCCACGGGTCCTTCCCCTGAAAATCCCTTGCTACGCCGCCTCAGAGGCTGGGAACGGCTGTCTTTAGGCTAAAAAACTTTCCAGGCCGCCGCCAGTGATGAAATGCAAAATTGTACTCATTGAGTCTTCTCTTGAGGTGGCTTTCTTATAGCATAAGTCAACCTTTTAGTAAAAAATTTTAATTTTAAATGTAATTTTTTAATATAAAATTTAAAGATATAGTAAGAAAGTCATCCCAAACAAATTTAAGTGGTGATGCATATCGAGATGGTTCAAGAATGTTGGACAAGTGTCGGTAATCTAATCGCTTGTCGTGGTCCTCAGCATGATCATTGGATATTTGATAATCTCTTAAATTATTTCTTCACATTCACCTCAAGATCGAGGTCACATTCATTTGAAGAATTTGATTCGATTTATAATTTTTGAGAGAAAATTTTAATAATTTTCGCAAAATTAAAAAAAAAACTCTAATCAATATTCTATGTTGATTCATTTGATTATTAGATATTATTTCATTATTTATGTGCCTTAATGATCTTATAATTAAGTGATCTTAGGCTCATTAGATTCATCACGATGAGATGACTTTTTAGATTGTAAGCACAAATGATTTGGAGATCATAATGTGCATGAGCATGTTGTGTTGAGGAGAGAGATGTTTTTGAATTTCTGGTGATTTTCTTTGTGTTTTTTTTTTTTTTTTGGTTAAAATGACGGAAGGAGGCAGCCGGTGATCATCTACTAATGAACACTCTACAAAGATTAATGTTGGTTTGTTCAATAGTAGACAATCAAACTTTCAAACTCCACGCAAGCGGTATCATGGTATTCATATCAAGGGAACTTTTATTTGGTATGGTGCACGAATGTAGAGCTACGTTTGGCCGGCACTGAGATCGCGCCACGTAGCAGGCACAAAAAATGTCTTTTTTCAAAGAATATGGAGCTTCTTTGTCTTAATCTATTAGACTTAATTACTCTAATTCTGAATCATTGCACTCTAAGGTTCATTAAGAACCTATGGTTTCTGCTACAGCAGAGGTCGCTCTTGTTTTTTATCTTCAATTTGATTTTTAAAAAAATTGAGAGTAAAACTGAAAATATTGCTTCTGAAACCGTTATTGCTCCTGATACTATGCAAAAGGAATCCGAGACTCAAATTGATCTATCAAACCAAGAGAAAACTCATTCCACAATTCAATCGAAATCTAAATTGCAAAGTGCTTGGAGTCATCCTGATCATATTTCGTTGGATTTCAATGAAGATATTACATCATTTTGGAAAGATGGAGAGACTATTTTATTAGACACTCAATTAGAAAAGCATAACATGGCTCAACTTGATAATGCTTTAGTCATCAAAGTTCTTGCTAATAAGCTCCCTCTATCGATTCTTAACAAAGAATTTCAGAGACTTTGGTCTAAGTTTGGTTCTAAGTTTGATAATAAGCTCCCTCTACCGATTACCGACACTTGTCCAACATTCTTGAACCATCACGATATGCATCACCTCTTAAGTTTTGCGTGGGATAATTTTCTTACTGTATCTTAAACAACTTTTTAGTAGATAGAATTTAAATTTTATATTAAAAAAATACTTTTAAAATTAAATTTTTTTACTAAAACGTTGACTTATTCTATAAGAAAGCCATCTCAAGAGAAACCTCAATGAGTCCATTTTTGCATTTCATCACTGGCGGCGGGCTTAAAAGTTTTTTGGCCTAAAGACGGCTGCCGCCTCGGAGGGCGGCATAACAAGGGATTTATAGTGAAAGGACCCGTGGCCCGTTGATTTTTTTTTTTAGGACAATTAGGCCATATAAGGGTAACTCACACACACAACGCATACGCATGGACTAGAACCTTGGACCTCTTAGTTGTAAGCCTAAGCTCTCAACCAATAGGCCAAGGGGAATTGTGTGTGGCCCGTTAATTGTAAAGAGATTTCTTTAATATCAGGAAGGCGGTGCAGCACAGCTCGTGGGATCTTAGAAAGCCGCAGCAAGAAATGTCTTCTTTAGTGGCTGCTATCAGTGGTACGAGAGTGGAAGATGAAGATGATGGAGAAAATTGGAAGAGAAGAACGGTAAGTCCTGCCTCAAGCTGCGGCGCACAAACATCATCTGCCTCGGCAGAAAACTCCCCCTCCGCAGCTAACATCAATCTCCAGCGAGATTACACCCTTGCTGTCCAGACCAACTCTTACAACTAGATGTGGTCAATAATCCACCATCGACACGGACAAGGAGATGTAAAGAGCATGGTGAGGAGATCCTCCGGCCGGATCGAGCGTCGGTCGAGGAGGCCATCCGCTTGGCTCGACCCACTCGTCTCACCCGCCTCATATCCCGTTACCTGGAAAGCAGTGAGCAGGCCTCTGACCTATTTCTCTCCCTCCGTCGCTCCGTACACCTCGCCCGCTAAATGTACTCTCCGATTGCCCTGCTTCTGGACGTTCTCCCTGCCACCTCCCCGATCCCCTCGCCCGCCCAATCCGTTTCTTCCCTGCTGTCCTTACCGCAGTGCGACAGCGTTTTCGATGCTTTTGTCAATTTTGACCGCTGCGTGAATCCCTTCCAATCCGCCGCCGATGGCTTTGTGGACATCCGAGACTTCTTCTTCGTCGTGAAGCAGCAGCTAGAACTGCGTCTGCTGACCACCCGGCTCAGGCATCGGCTCCTTCGGCAGGCCACTATCGCCTCTGCAACATGCCTCCTTGTGTCAGTCATAGGGGCCGTCGTAGTTGCGCTTGTCCTCGCCAGCCATGCTCTGCTAGAGAGTTTGATTGTTCCCCCGATCATTTATAGTGCATCCACAAGCATCAAAGACAACAAAGCAAGAATTACCGGTGGTAAGCTTATTATTTGAGGGGATATTATGATTGAGATTTGGAACAAGATGATTAGAGTTAAGATGGAGCTTACGGGTAGGAGTAGGTAATTAGTCTTTATCAGTGTGAGTAATGGGTAGTAGATCACCATTGCCGAGCATGACTTGTTGATTGTTGTTGTAAGGTTGAACCTGATGGAGTTGTGACTGATCATATGTTAAATGTGAAGTAGCTCTGGTGTCGAGCAGCCAGTTAGAAGAAGCAGGAACAGTATCAGTCGCATACGCCTGAACTGGTGGTTGAAAAGAAAATTCACCCCGATACCAACATTTGAATGCGGACTGTCAAAATTTTTGACAAATTTGACATTCAATCGGCAGGGAAGAAGCGAGCGATGGACGAGGAGACAAAGGTTGTTCATGCCTAGAACGAGGGGAAACTCTTCTGTGAGAAGAACGATCACGAACAGAATCAGCGGTGAGATTCAATTCTTCACTGCAAAGAAGTGAATAAAAATCATCCAAGCTTATTGGATTAAGATTAGTTCGAATGGTTGTCTTGAATGCCTGGTAGGTGTTCGGTAACCCATTCAACGTATACATGATGATGTCTTCAGTGGGTACAGGAAAGCCAGAAGAGCCGATGGCATCCACTTTGCTTTTGATTTCTGATAAGTACTGCATCATAGACTTATCTTTCATTAAAATATGATGTAACTCGTTTTTAAGCTGAAGAATCCTTAAACTGTTTGTAGATTGTAACCTGCGTTCAATGGTTTTTCATATTTTTGAACAAGAGTTCAGATTCAACACATAAGGAAGAAATGTGGGGGAAATAGTTGAATAGAGAACAGGTGCAAGATTATGATCAACAAATAGCCATGTAGAATATTCAGGATTTGGCTGAAGCTCTTCGGTGGCAGTAGAAACCAATTTAGGAGGTTTTGTTGTGGATCCATCTAAATACCCATCAAAATTTTCTTATATGAATGAGTCTTTATTTTAACTGGTCATCTTTTTCTAAATCAAAATATTAATAGAAAGGTTTATTAAAAAAAAAATTCTTTGGTCTTTGCAGATGCGATTGAAGACTTGCAGGCTAATTTAGTAGAGTAGTTTTTCCTTCATTTGATTGCATTATTCGATGCTTTCTTTTACATTTAAGAAATTCATTGATATTAGATGATAAATAATTATTGCTTCTATATTATTCTTATTATTAATAAAACAGTTTCATGCATGTTTAATATCTAAAATAACTAAACAAAGAGCATATAGATTCATAAACATAATAACACCATAATATAGAATTTCCTTAAATAATTGCATGAAGATCATTTTTTTAATTAGGACACAAAGCATTTAGAAATTTAATCAACTCAAACAACTTTAAGACATGTTTTTTACTAATAAAATTAATCATATTGGCCAGTTATAATAGGCTCATAAATGACTTATTTAAAAAAGAACTTCTAGCTTTTAAGTAATACACTTATGCTTTGCCAATCATCATAAGATTCATTAATGCAGTTCAAAAATATTATTAATCAACCTTCCAGATAAAAAAACAAAGCTTTTTACCAACATTTTTATCATCAGGTCGCCTAAACATCCAAATTGCAACATTGTCGCCATATTTCAATTGGCTAAACTGTTGAAAAATCATCATCTAATTTCCCTTTAGGCAGATGTCTTTTCTATCATATGATAATGTTAACAACAACTCTATTTTCCAGCCACCTTGGACGTAGACTAACACATTCAGCTCACCCTGTTTATGCCATATTATTACCTTCTCTGTAAGAGTGAGGAAAGGAATCATTTCATCTTCCATGATATTGTCCGGAAGGCGAAGGAAGTATGAAAGGTCATAACCATACTTTCTTACACAAGAAAAACTTAACATCCTCAACATTGTTATCCCTAATCACTTTTTTAGACCATTCCAACATATTTCCATGCTTCATTATCGTTTTCTTAGATTCTTACAACATACAATGAGAGTTTGTATATATAAAGGTTTGGAAGTACAGTTTCTCAGTCCGTTAGGAAAATGAAAGTTCTTTCCTAATGAATAGGTGTCATCATTTAATGAAATGGCATGCATGGATGTAAAAATTTTAGCAACACGTTGAGAAAATATATTTTTTCCCTAAAGGAAAGCTTGCTAAATATAGAGCTTGTATTTGTATATTGAGAAAGGAGAGTATTAATCTCCATTTAAGCATTTATGTAGAGGGTAATCAAATTTAGGAACAAATATTCCATTATTGATTAAATATTATTGAAGCATGCATTTATTTTAAT